AAAAAAAAAAAAAAAAAAAAAAAAAAAAAAAAAAAAGAGTTATGGAGCTGTGTGTAAAACAAAAAGTAATAAAAATGATGTTTTAATCTAAATCTCATGAAGTTAACCAAAAATTGCTACAAGATTCTGCTTTATATTTTTATATATTTGAAAATTAAAAACAATGGATATATGCTACCCCAATTATAGAGACTGACAGTACTTGTAAAATGTGGTAAATATCACTGAGAGGAAACAGTAAGAATGTCTGAGGGAAGACAAAATGAAGCCAAGTGCTAATAAGTACAATATAGCTTAAATTAAAAGACTAACAGGAGAACATTTTCAAATGATAATTTTCTAGGAAAAGGAAATAACTCAGTTCTTGTCAGGTTCATTTACAAAATGATAGGCTTGAGTGAAAAAAACACAAACAAAACAAAAAAACAAAAACAAATTCGGGGGCAGGAAAACCCAGTGATTAAGTTCACAAATCCTAGGTTTAAAATACCTGGACTATAATTCTAGATCTGCTACCTATTTATTAGAAGTGTAACCTTGAAAGCACACTCAACTCCGCTTAACCTCATTTTTCTGTACAATAGGACTGATAATAATAGTACCCCACAGAGTTGAAGAATCAAAAGTGTGTTTGCATGCGTGTGTGGGAGTGTGAGGGTGGAAGATGGTCTGAGAAAGAACACTCAAAATAGCGTTTGGTCCAGAGTAGCTATTATGATTGAATGTAACAGTTTACTGTAATTACAACAAGGGTAAAATTCTATGCAATTATACTTTCTCTTACATCTTATTATACAAAGGTGGATCACTTCTGAGCTCTATTAGCGTCTGCATAATTTGGAGTAACCTTCCTGGAAAACACATATTTATGTAACATATGAATTCCTCATCCCATGTTTTACTAAATGTATGAGCCCTTTCCCAGAAATTTAAGATTGGTAGGATTGCTTCTGGGGTTTACTTGAGCTGAACACAAATACACTCAGAAGCAGAGGACAAAACATACAGCAGATCCGTGGCTGTTTTAATGTTATTTTGTTATAACATTGATGGAAAAAATAGATTTCCAGCAGGGGCCAATGTCTACGTGGATTGGCACGTTGTTTCCATGTCTATGTAGGTCTTCTCTCTGTACCCCCATTTCCTTCCACTTCTCAGAGCTCTGAGCATTAGCTGAACTGGCGTGTCTATGTGGGCCCTGTCTGAGCGATTGTGATTGGGTATGTGAATGCACCCTGCAGTGGGATGGCTTCCTGTAGAGAGATGGTTTACACCTCAGGCCCTGAGCTGCTGGAATAGGATCTGGCCACCTGTGACTCTGAACTGAAGTAAGGAGGTAAATAATTATCCTGTTTTCATTAATCCTTATTAAATGTATGTATAGTTTATTTCTTTGTTTAATATTAGAAATATTTTGGTCTTTATTTAGAAGCTGGCGATGTTTCTGTGACCAGAAATAAGGTATAGTAATTTAACTAGGGTTAATATCTATTAGCCTGTAGTAAAACTGGTTTCATTATATGTTGTTTCACTTTACACTGCAGTTTCCAATGACCTATGGACAACGTTGAGGACTCACTGTATGTGGCTAGAAGTATGGTCACGTGATGAAAGCTGATCAACTGAGGGAGGAAAAAGAAAAAGGTGGATGCCCAAAATGAAGGTGAGGTGTGAAACAACATGTGAGAATAAGAAAGAAACAGAGAAAAGCACCCATACACTTGCACACATGCACACACACACAGAGAAAGAGACAGAGAGAGAGGGAGAGACAGACAGACAGACAGTGACAGAAAGAGAGATATGCTAATTCCTGATGGCTTTCCACTCAACAGCTCCAGAATCTTTTGAGGACTGCCTATGTTTCCTGTCTTGGTGTTCCATGAAATACCCCCAATACACTGCCTATAAATTAAGGTTAAGTGACTTTGAATTTGTTTTGCTGCTATTGTTTACAACCAAAAGACAATTGTCTAAAACTGTTTGAAAATATAAGCTGTATAAAGTATTAAGTATTTGGTTGTGATACTCGGGAACCAAGATGGCCGTTTAGGAACAGCTCAGGATTGCAGCTCCCAGTGAAAGCTCAGAGGGTGAGTGGACGCCGTATTTTTATTGCCCACAGACTAGGAAATTCCCGGGCAGAGGTGCTCCACGGTCGCCAGCGCGGCTGTTTCGGCCAGTGCGGCTGTGCCGGCCAGCGCCGGCCAGTGCCGCGGCTTTGCCCCGCGCGGCTGCTTTGCCCTGCGCGGCTGCTTTGTCGGCGCCCCGGAGCCG